TGTCCATCAGTAGATGAATGGATAAAGAAGATGTGGTACATATCCACTATGGAATATTATTCAACCATAAGAAGAAAACAAATCCTACCATTTCCAATAACATGGATGGTTCTAGAGGGTATAATGCTCAGTGAAATCAGCCATGCAGAGAAAGACAAGTTCCAAATGATATCACTCATTTGTGGAGTATAAGAATAAAGCAAAACTGAAGAAAAAAAACAACAGTGGACTCAGACTCCAAGAAGACATTAGCAGCTACCAAAAGGAAGTGGGTGGGGAGATAGCCTGGGGAGGGAGGGAGAAGGGGATTGGTTCACATAATGTAGGGGTGTCACAGGAAAGGCCATATGGCTCAGAGGAGAGAAGTAGTGACTGTCTAGCATCTTACTATGCTGATGGACAGTGACTGCAATGGGGTGTGTGTTGGGAACTTGGTAATATGGGTGAATGTAATAACCATAATGTTTCTCATGTGAAACCTTCATAAGATTGTATATCAATGACCTTAATAAAAAAAGACATGGCAATTCTGCTGAATTAATCTATTGATTCAAAACAATTTCAATCAAAATTGTATGTACTGAACAAGCTAATTTTAAAATTCATAAGAAAAGGCAAAGGACTTACTATAAACAATGAATTTGAAAAAGAATAAAATTAGGGGTGATTAATGCTGTGATGTCAAGATTTATTATGAAGGTACAGTAATCAAAACACTGTAGTATTTGTAAGATTAGACATATGGATCAATGAAAAAGAATAGAGTTCAGAAACAGACCCAGACATATATAACTGATTTTTTAATCTATGTTGCAAGGTAATTCAAAGAGAGAGAAAAAGAGTCTTCCAACAAAGAGTACTGGAACAATTAGGAATCCATGTGCCAAAACCATGGATATATAAAATAAAAAAATAAAAAAAAAAACCAAACTGAACCTCCACCCTTTCTTGCTAGTACATAAAATAATTACATAAAAATAGCCAAAATAATTACATAAAAATAAGGCACTTTTAGAAGAAATGTTAGGAAAAAATATTTGTGAACTTGGATTAAGCAAAAATTAGGGTGCAAAAGGCACAGAACTAAAAGAAAATAATGTTAAACTGGACTGTTTCAAAATTTAAAACTTCTGTTCTTTTAAATACAATGTCAGTGCTCATGGATTAGAAGAATTAATACTGTCAAAATGCCTATCCTGCTGAAAGTAGTTTATAGATTCAATGCCATCCCTATTAAAATAACAATGGCATTTGTCAATGAGCTAGAGCAAATAATCCTAAAATTCACATGTAACTGCTAAAGACCCCAAATAGCTAATGCAATTCTGAGAAAGAAGAAGAAAGCTGGGGGAATCACACTCCCTGAGTACAAGGTACACTACAAAGCTAAGGTAATCAAAACAGCATGGTACTGGCAAAAGAACAGACTCACAGATCAAAGGAACAGAATAGATCACCCAGATATAAACCCACACATATGTTGGTCAATTAATATATGACAAAGGAGCTGTAAATGGGGCTAAGACAGCCTCTTCTATTAGTCATGTTGAAAAAACTGAACAGCTACATGCAAGAGAATGAAACTGGATTACTGTCTAACTCCATACAAAAATAAACTTGAAATGGATCAAAGACCTGAATGCAAGACATGAAACCATAACATTCTTAGAAGAAACCATAGGCAAAAATCTCTTGAACATAAGCATGAACAATTTTTATGGATATATCTCCCTAAGCAAGGGAAAGAAAAGCAAAAATGAACAAGCAGGACTATATCAAACTAAAAATTTTCTGTAGAGCAAAGGACACAATTAACAGAACAAAAAGGCAGCCTACAGTATGAGAATATATTCATAAATAATTTATCTGATAAGGAGTTAACATCCAAAATATATAAAGAGCTCATATACCTCAACATCCAAAGAACAAATGACTCAATTAAAAAATGGGCAGAGGACCGGAACAGACATTTCTCCAAAGAATAAATACAGATGGCCAAGAGGCACATGAAAAGACGCTCCACATCACTAATCATCATGGAAATGCAAATTAAAACCACAATGAGATATCACCTCACTGTATTTAGAATGACTATTACTCAAAGGACAAGAAATATCTGTTGGTGAGGATATGGAGCAAAAGGAACTCTCCTACACTGTTGGTAGGGATGTAAATTGATGAACCCACTGTGGAAAGCAGTATGCAAGGTACTCATAAAACTAAAAATAGAAATACCATATGACCTAGTAACTGCTCTTATAGGAATTTCCCAAAGAAAATAACATCTGTGATTCAAAAAGATATATTTACCCCTATGTTTACTGCCACATTATTTACAATAGCCAAGATATGGGTGCAACAAAAGTGTTCAACTGATAAATGGATAAAGAAGATGTGGTATAATAGAACATTATTTAGCTGTAAAAAAGAAAGAAATCCTGCTATTTGAGATACCATGGATGTGCCTAGAGGTATGATGGTCAGTGAAATAAGCCAGGTGAAGAAAGACAAATACCACATACTTTCACTTTTCTGTGGAGTCTAAAAACAAAACAAAACAAAATGTACAGAATAGCAGTAGTCTCACAGACACTGTGAAGTGATTGGTGGTTAGGCTGGGGGAGGGACTGAGGTGGGTAGGTGAGGAAGGTGAAGGGGAAAAAGGGGCATAAAAATTCTCAATAATAATATAAGCTGGTCATGGGGATGGAAGTGCAGCATGGAGAATATAATCAAGAGTTGTGTAACATCTTTCTGTGTTGACACATAGTAACTGCAGTAATTGGGGTGTGGATTTAATAATGTGGGTAACTGTTGAATCACTGTGTTGTACACTGAAATCAATATAATACTGTATATCACATATACTTCAATATACTTATTTCAATAAAACAAGAAAATAGATAACAACAATGTCAAGAAAACAAAAATGGAATCCACAGATTTGGAAGAAATACTTGGAAATGACTTATGTTAGCAGACTTGTTTCTAAAATATATAAAAAGCTCTTCTAATTAATATTAATATGAGCTTTATAACAACAGACACTTTATAAAAGAAAAGGAATGGCTATAGAACAGATGAAAATAAAGTGAGTATCACTAGACTTTAGGAAAAGGCAAATTAAAATAACATTGAGGAAGCCAGGTGGAGAAAGACAAGTATCAAATGATGTCACTAATCTGTGGAGTATAAGAACAAAGAAAAAAACGGAAGGAACAAGACAGCAGCACACTCACAGAACACAAGAATGGACTAACAGTTACCAAAGGGAAAGAGACTGGGGAGGATGGGTGGGAAGGGAGGGGATAAGGTGGAAAAGGGACACTATGTTTAGCACTAATGTGGGGGGGGTGGACACGAGGAAGGCTGTATAACACAGAGAAGATAAGTAGTGATTCTATAGCATCTTACTACACTGACAGACAATGACTGTAATGGGGCATGTGGTGGGGACTTGATAATAGGGGGAGTTTAGTAACCATAATGTTGTTCATGTAATTGTACATTAATGATAGCAAAATAAAAAAAAAATAACATTGAGGTACCACTACATTCCTACAATAGCTAAAATTAAAAAGATTGGTGATACCAAGTACTGACAAAGATATGGAACAATTGGAACTCAAATCTGTTGGCAGTAGGAATGCAGAATGATATAGCATTTTGAAAAAGAAGTTGGAAGCTCTTTATAAACCTAAACCTATGCTTTCCATATGATCAGCAGTCCAATTCCCAGTTATTTACAGAGAAATTAAGTGAAATGGAAACATGTCCATGCAAAGATTTTTACATGAATGATAATAGTTTTATTCATAATGGCCTGAACTGAGAATACCCCAGTCACTAATTAGTGAAGGAATAAAAAAATTGTTATATAGCCATACATTGGAATATTATTCAGCAATATAAATGAAGAAACTAATGATATGCAAAAATGGGGATCACTCTTCAAAGCTTTATGTTAAATGAAAGAAGTCAGACTGAAGGCACACACTGTATGATTCCATTTTTGTGACATTCTGGAAAATGCCAAGTTCTAGAGGGTAGGTGTGAGGAATTTTGTCTGTGAAGGTCTAGAGGATACGTGTGAGGGAAATGACTGCCAGGGTGGATGATGGAAGTCTTGGGGGTAACAGAACTATACTTTATCTTTATTGTAGTGGTGGTTACCTGACTGTATATATATTTGTCAAGCCTCATCGAAGCATACATTTTAAAAGGGTAAATTTTACTGTATATAAATTATACCTCAATATACCTCAGTTTAAAAAATTATGTTACAAAAAAATCTCAGAATTGGAGAGGAATGACACTCATTAGTATGTATAACTTCTACCATGCTGGTAAATACCACAACAAACACAGTGATGAGTTTACCTGAGGTAATCCCACTGAGATTTAAAAACTCTTAACACCCTCTAATTTACACTTCCAGACAGAGTATGAGTACATCTATCTCTGTAGGGAGCCAAGAACATAATACCAATTAAAAATGACTGACTTAGATTAAAAAAATATTAATTGTAGCAATTATGCAGTGAACACACTGAAAAAGCAATTATGTAGTGAAAACACTGAAAAAACACTAATAAAACTGTTATTAGTTTCCAATCAGCTCATATTAATATTAATTAGAAGAGCTTAATATTAATTAGAATTAATATTAATTAGAAGAGAAGTTGATGATTAATCTTCATCAACACACTAAGATGAATATATATATATGTCCCTTAAAAGAAAAAGTGTAAAGTATATTATACACCTTCACCCCAGTATACCCATATATTGAAAAGGATCAATATATGGGCAGGTGTAAGAGTGTTTATTATACTGTTGTTTGCACTTTGAATACATCTAAATTTTTCTATAACAAGGAGTTAAAAAATTAAATGGCAAAGACATATTACAGTATGCAAATAAGCTGCTTAAGTAAAAATATTAAAGTACATTAAATAATTTGTATCAAGACAAATACATGATGGCCCAGCAATGAGTACCTTGGCAACAGCAGTTTGTTTGAACATGCGAGTAATCAGCCCCACGACACTCTCTGTGGCACCTGAATCTGGGACTCTCATTAATTTTTCCCACTCTTCAAAGCTTGCATTTAATTCCTATGTGGAAGAAAACAATGTTTAGAAATACAGCATAAAGAACAGAATAATTAATGCAATAATGAATCATGTCCTTTTTTCTTTTTTATATAGAAACATATAAAAAGGAAAGAAAATTCCCAAAGATGCCAGTGTGTTCATTTAAAACATCAACTGAGGTAAGTCAGTCACATGCTCATGGCATTGACAGAAACCAGTGACAAACTATGGATGAAAACCAAGCTTTTTACAAACACTGTAAGTCAAAAAACTACAGCTTCCTCTTTAGGAGAACATTTTGCAAAGTAAAGTAAAAACTTAAATACATAGGAAAGTAGGGTAGTGAAAATGTGTATGTTAGCAAAGTATGTTTATAAAATCATGATTTTATTTAAATAAGCATAAGGACTTGGTGAATATTCATTAAATGAAAATGTAATATAATCACATTGACTCTCTTATTTTTCTTTCTAATGATAAAATAGTGAATAAAGAAAACCAGATCATTCTTATTTACGAGTAACATATTGCTCAATGCTTACAGAATTCTTTAGCTTTTAAGGGAAAGCAATGCAATAAATAGTCTTTGTCAACAAATTCCAGATTTGAAGAAATTTCAGAAAATATATAAGCACTGCACGCCACAAAAGTAAGTGCAAATAAGTATTGGGTAAAATACATTTCTGATTTGTAACATACTAAACTGCACATTTATGTGATCACAGTTTTCGGATTTCAAGAACAATTCTCAGATTTCAAGAACAAGTTATTCTAGAAGACAGCCATTCATACTTATAAAAAAAATCCTTGAGCAATAAAAACAACTTCCCCTGCTAATTTTTGGGTTTCATGCCCTACAGATACTTAGAATTCTTAATAATAAATCTGTAATTGAAGTGCTTTTTTTCTATAGTCAGCAGAAATAGATCTTTTAAACCACTAGGATACCGAACCTTTTCACATTATTTGATGACTAAAGTTAAATTTTTCTTCTTTTTTTTGAAATACAAAGCCATATGCTCTATTAATTGAAACTGTCTTAAGAAAGTGGACTTCCCCTTCTGTGAAATATAAAATATGTACAATCTTTAATAGTGTAACTTAAAACTTTCAAACAATGGTTCTCACCTTGGCTGCTGCTGATGGGAGATCAAATGGAATACGTTGTCTGATTTTAGGGGGCAGTTGGGTTAAAACGTCAGTCTTTAATCTTCTAATCATTATATCACTTAATAGCTGATGAAGTTCATTAAGATTTGATGCCCCTCTACAATCCCACTGACACCTTTTACCAAAATATCTGTTAACATGAAGAAACACATGTAGCAAAGCTGAATGGTAGAATAAGAAAACAATTTGTTGAGTGTGTTCTTTTTAATGATAAGGAACCCAGCACTGTTTTTACTGTTATTAGTTTCCAAATTAGTTTCCAAAGGCTCACCTTGAGAAATAATAATGAATAAGATTATACATTACTCTCAGCAACAGAAAATGTTAGCACATACACATACTGTTTATACTGAGTTAGGTGCCAGGCTAGAATGAACAGCTAACTCCCATTCAGCTGTTAAGAGTGGATTGATCACATGATTTCTTCCTTTGAAACCACTGGAATGACAGCAATGGAATTAAAAAATAAAAGAACAAAGGAAGTAAAAAACAGAAAGGATAGAATGGGAGAGAAAACATCAGAGAATAAGAAATTTCAACAAACGTTTAGAAGTCAATGCAGATCGACAAGTGGTAGCTGACTTGGCAAAAGAAAGTAAACAATTAGTTTGATAATTCAAATACATCTTTAGATTTGCCTTGCTAAAGAAGCATAAAACACTATTTCCATCTATATGTGAATTTCTTCTGCACTTTTGAACTTCATTTCTCTGAATTGGCTCCTGGTGCTTGAGAATCGGCTGTTTTACAGAGCTCAAAGAACTTTACTAACAACAGAAGGCTGAGTGCACCCATGAGAAGCCTTCTGCCCCATGTACGTGATTTAGCTTCATCTCATTATTGTCAGGACTAAAAGGAGCTGAATAAACCGAGGCAAACTACTCACCAAAACAAAACACATGAATCCAAAAACTATTCTTCTAGTTATTTAGATAAATTTGGGAGCAAGTTAAAAATCTATCTGGATCTATGAAAATATATTACTTCATGAAATAATTATGCATGAAGTAAATATTGCACGATGCCTAAGATATAATAATAGCTTATGAGTTAATGAATAAATGGACAAACTAACTAATGCATATACCCCACAGTTCTTGAAAATAGAAATTCTTGTGCTAGAAAAAACAAAAGCAACAACTTTTGGAATGGGACATCTGGTTAACTATAACAAATTAATATTTATCACTGTTCTATGAAAACCCTAACATGAAAGGAAAGGAATTTCAAAACTATTAAATAAAAACAAAGAGTATGAGAGAAATGAAAACAGAAATTACAGTAAACCAATTTTTGGAAAATGGAAAAGAAGTGGAGGAGATGTCCTAGTTAAAACATGGTAAAAAAAACACAAACATTTATTGATAATCAATAGTACAAAGAAATAAAGAATGCATTAGCCCACCAGGACAAAGAGAATGAAAGGAAACAACAGCAAAAATGTGGACATACCTGTAGAAGAAAAAAATGAAGTTAACCAAATCAAGCAAGCTGAATATTATGGGCCTAAAGAGAGGTATCAACAAAATCCTAGAATGTCTTAGGAATTAGAAGTATCAGGTAGCTGAGGTGAGGGTAAGTATGACACAGTAGCTAAAAACAGGGACACTAGTTGAAAGTCTATACAAGGAATAGATGAACGCCCCGATTCTCTTCCCATTATCATGCCATCATGATACCCTCCCTCCCCAACAAGTCCATGGTTTTATTCCATAGATAAACTGAACCAGAGTTCAAATGTCGGGAAACCAAGAATACTGGAGGTCATGGGGAGGTGCTATGTGGAAACCAGAGACAGAGGTAAAGTCCACATAGCAAGCATTAAGAACATTATTCTGCTTCTCTTATTCATTTGTTAATGCCAAAAAGATGATAGCCAGGTATAAGCGTCCACATAGAGCAGAACAATAGAGGATTCTTTTTCCCTTTCAAATTTTAAAGGCCACAGAAAGATGACCTCCACATAATGACATTTGAGTATGCCTCAGTGAAAAGCACATCATTTTCTAGTCAAAACGCTCTCCTAATCAGCTTTTTACAGTTTCAGTCTTAAATATGACTGGACATTCAAGAATCAACTGACATGGAGTTAAGTCTCCAATATGTACAACAAAGACCAAAACAACAGGAAAAAAAATTCAGAGTAGACATATAAGGCAAAAAATAGAAGAAAAGGTAAGAACAAAAAATAAAACAAAATAATACCAAAAACTTCAGCAACAAGCATCCCAAAATAGGAAGATACGAGAGTACAGAGAATAAAGGTATAAACAGCAAGAAGAAATGGTTAAGAATTTATAATAACTTAGCCATTTTCTTTAGTCAAACAAAAATTAAACAGAAGATCTGGGTAATAAAGGAAGAAATCTTCCACAAAGGAAAACAAAAAATAAAATGAGAACACTAAAGGACCAATACATAAATAATAGAAGTTCCAGAAAGAAAGATTGAAGGAAAGGAGGAAAAAGGTGAACATGAGTAATTTGCAGATATAAGCACCCACATTTCCAGACTGAAAGAGTATAGTTAGTACCCACCATTTGAATAAAACAGACCCAAACCCAGGCACATTTTTATGAAATTAGAGAGTAAGTGATAAAGGGCAATTTCACAACATTCCAGAATAGGAAGAAAGACAAATATACATGAAGAATGCAAACAATAAAAAATCAGATTGAAACTGTAATTCTTTTATTAGAGACAATGGAGAAATAACTTCAAGATGCTCAGGAAAAATGATTTCAAACAAAAATCTACATCCAGCCTCTTTATCGATTGAGAGATTATTGACATGCAGTCATATAAGTATTAAAACAATTATTCTATGAACTATTCTTAGGAAGTTATTGAGAAATATGTATCCAGAATTCCAGGAAATATGCTAAAAGGAACCACAGAAAACATGTACAAGGTGATCCTGGAACATCTTGTCATATCAGACAGCAAGGAAGCAATTGAAGGCTACTTGGCATTGTGTCAAAAAGACCATATTGAAGATGGTCCTATTTGTCAAAGGTAATGAAGACAACATCAATAAAGATAACAAAGTGTGTTAAAAATAAAACTCTCAAACACTCAACAAACTAGGATTAGAAGTCACCTTTCTCAAGCTAATAAATAACATCTATAAAAAATGAAAGTATTGTACACTGCAAACTACATGACACTGTAGAAAATTAAATAAATGGAAAGCCAATTCTGCTCATGATTGGAAAAACTTAATATTATTAAAATAGCAAATCTCCTCCAACTGATCTATAGATTCAACACAATCTCTATCAAATTCCCAGTTGACATCTTTGCAAAATTTGACAAGCTAATCCTAAAATTTAGGTGAAAATACAAGACAGAGAACAGCCAAAACAATCTTGAAAAAGAAAAATGTTGGAGGACTTATATTTAATCAATTTCATAATGAAAAACCTCACTGGACACCATTAGAGAATGCTAGCAAAACAACTTTTTATTTTGAAAACTCATAAATAAAGAGAAAAATAAGCATTTTGCCTGCCTTTTCCAAACTAACACAATCACTGAGTGTCCAAATAGTAGTGGAAGGGAGGTTTTCCTTTTCAGAGGTATGTCAACTAACAAATGAAGAGAATTAGAATATCACCACAGTGCAATGCCTAAAATAGATCATAGACTGTAGCACAGAGAAAACAAGGAGTGACTCTATAGCATCTTACTATGCTGACAGGAAGTGACTGTAATGGGATATGTGGTGGGGACTTGATAATAGAGGGGAATCTAGTAACCACAATGTTGCTCATGTGAGACCTGAGCATAAGATTGTATATCAATGATACCTTAATTAAAACAAATAGAAAAAAAAAAGATCACATACTGAACACTGACAACCACTAACATCACAAAAAGAGAGGCTTTAGATATCATGGACCTTCTGATGGAAGAACACAACATTCCTATAAAAGTAGAATTGCCAAAGAAAAATTGATGTCCCTACATCTAGACACCAGTATAAAAATATAGAGGACAGAGGAACATGTTAAACAATACCATGGAGGTGCAAGCTCCATGCAAAATCCAGTTTACAGAAACAATCAAGTTTCCTTAACAAATTAAAAATTAATAAAGCAAGAATATGGAAGAGAAACCTGGAGATTAAGAGAGACTTCATTAGAGAGATTAGGATAGATACCTCTCATTTGTAATATGCGAGCCTTATTTGGGTACTGATCGAAACTATGGTGAAAAGCTTTAAAGAAATAAAACTGAAAAATTATGATTTTAACAAGATAACTGGAAATTTTAACATATACTGGATTTTAAAAATAGTACTAAGGAATTATTGTTAATTCTAATGTTTTAGGTATGATAATGGTGTTATAATGAATTATTTCTTTAAAAAGAGTTCTTACTCTTCAGAAATACATATACTAAAATATTTTATGGATAAATGGGATGTCTAGGCTTTGCTTCAAAATAAAATGGGGTAGTAGAGGTAGATGAAAGTATAGGTAAAAGAAGAGTGACTGTGTTAAAGCTTATATATACATGGGGGCGGGAGTGGTTCATTATACGATTCTGTTTATCTTTGTCTGTGTTGAATTTTTTCCTTCTTAGATATTAAAAAGAAGACCAGAAAATAAACTAAGAAACAAAAGTTATGGACTTTAGGAATTTAAGGATCCAGTATGGCAGAATGACAAAACAAAATTCAGGATGACAGCTTTGTACCATGTTCAAAGAAAAACCAGTCCAGATTGCAGCAGAACAGAAGGCTGTGGGAGGGAGGCCTCCAGGAAATGGGGGGGAAAGATTTTATGTGCTTGTACAACCTATTGGAAGCTGACTGATCTGTTGGAATCTTAGAGTAAAAAATAGTGATGGTTGTGTAGGAAAAAAAAGAGGAAATAATTAATTAAAAGATAAAAAGTTGACCAAGAGTGTAGCCACTACAGAAAGCAGAATGGAAGTTTCTCAACTAAAAATAAACATACCATGCAACTAGTAATTCCACTTCTGGGAATTTACCTGGAGAAAAAAACCAGTAATTTGAAAAGAAAAATGCACTTCAGTGTTTATCACAGAATTATTTACAGTAGCCAAGATATGGAAGCAACTTAAATATCCATCAATACATGAATGGTTAAGGAAGATATGGTA